TTATAGCTGCTCGGTGCCACATGGCAAGATATATTGTTTTAAACTTTCTTTTCAATATTAGTCATATGGTTACTGTAGACAAGCTAGCATTTAACTCATTGTTTTAACATATGAGAGATATTGTTTCTTTCACAATGTATATCTTGTTATATACAAATAAAATAAAGAAATGATGTTTACTTACTTTTAAAAATATATATATATATGATAGGCCTCTGTATAATGAAAACTAGTTATAAAATAAAGAAGACCTATTATATATATTAATCTAGTAGTTTTATTTATACAAAATATATATTGATATATTTTTTAAATAATCAAACTATTTTTCAAAATTATAATAATATTAATGTTATAGATATTTAATAGCAAATAAGATAAGATAGTAGTAATTAATTAATAATAGTAATAGTATAAGTTTTGTTATTGCTTATTTGATAATTGATTAGACAAGATATAAGTTAATTGATATAAGTTACTTTCAGATTATTATAAATATAAGCTATTTTTAAATTGCTATTTGAGAAAAACAAAGTTACTAAAAAGTTTTTTAATAATTGTTTAGACTTGATAGTTATTATTTTTGTAGTAAATATATATTATTACTGTTTTTTTATTAATGTTTAATAGAATGTAATTGTTGTTTTGATGTTTGTTAATAATAAAATATTATGTAATTTATGAGTTTTCATTTTTGAAATTGTTTATATTGATATTTGATAAATATAATGAATGTGTTTTAATATTTTATAAGATATAATTAGTCAAGAATGAAATATTAATTAATTACTAGAATAAATTAATTGTAGTTTTTTAATGTAAAATTTTTTGAAAAAAATTTTTTATTTTTAGTAATACAGTCAAACCTCTTTATAACAATATTTTTTATAATGATTTCTGGTTATAACGATATAATTTTGTTTACTTGTTTATTATAATATATAGTAAAAAGTTAATTTTTATACTGATAAACTGGTTATAACGATACAAATGATCTGATCCAGGCATATCGATATAAAAAGTTTTGACTGTATAATAAAATATGTTGAATAGTATTGAAAGTTGTATTTTGTATATATTTTTGGTTTTTCAAGTTAACAATATAAATAATTTTGATATAAAGTTTTATATTTTGTATTAAAAAAATGTTCTTTAGCAAAAGAACAAGAATATTTAAAAGAGTTTATATAATAATAAAAAGTATTTTAATAAGAATTGAAAAAGAAAAAAAGTTTTAAAGAAAGTTTATAAAAAAACAATTGTTATAAGCTTTTCTTTATACAATTTAAGAAAAATCAAGCTTGCTTTTTTCTAATCAGAGGTCTTATCTTGATACAACAGTATGCTTTGAATTTCTTGAGACTTTTGTAATAAAATTAGAAAGGTGTAAAGAACTTGTAGGTATTAAAAAATGAAAAGAATATTTTTTTCTTTAATTTTTAAAAAAATGCTATTACGAAAGAGTTTTTTAATCATTCTTATTATTTTGATTATTTATTTCGATTATTGCTAATAATATAAATAATATATATATATATTATATAAAATTAAATCTTTTAACAAACATTAACAACTGTTATCAACAACTTCTATTAGTAAAATTGATATAATAGTTTAAATAATTTTTTATTTATTATTATAATTTATTATAAACTTTAATCAAATAAATTATAATCAAATTATTATTTAATATTTGTTTTTATATTATTTTTAGTATTTTATGTTTGGAAGGCCATGTAATTTTATATAAAAAACATAAAAGATCATTGATAATAATAATTATGCATGATTGTAACACTCTTTATTAATATGAATCCTGATTGATTAATAAAAATAACGTAAGCGAAATCAATTATTCTATTCTTCAACCAATTATATTGACACAGTAAATAAAAAATCTATTTAAGCAAGGCATTCAATTTGCTTTTTGAGATAATTTGAACAGTAAACTCTTCATAAGAAATGACAAATAACTCTAATATTCCTCTCGTCTTTAAATGGATCAATCTTGCTTATTTGATGAAGGATGGGTTTATAACATACACCGCAGGTGCTATTTTAAGCACATTTGTAATTACTTGGGTAATATCAAAATTAGGATTCAATAAATCTGATACTGTAGCCGGATCCAATGCAGCACGGATGATGTCATTACATAATGAATATGTCCCCGCCGGTAGTCTTGGGTCAAATTTCCAATCTGTTGATACCACCGGTTTAAGTTCAGGAAGAATTATTGTCGCAGGTTTAGGAGTTGCTATTGCAATAAAAAAAGGGTTACAAGAATTAGAAACCTTTCTTACCATTAAATACGAAAATGATGAGTATCCAATAGTGATTTTTGATATCAATGTTAAGAGCAACGAGGATAAAAAGCTACTATCAATTCTTAATGGATTTGTCTTTGCACAGAAACTTACCGAAAAAAGAGTTAGACACTTCGAATTTATTATTGATGAAGGATCAGATATTTTGCTGAACTTTTTGATTGATAAATATGGTAAGAATGCTTTAACTTTGACGCAAAATGGTTTCCTTCTGATTCTTAGAGATTTTAGTAGCAAAATCTGAGAACATTGTAAAAATATGCTACTTGGAATATAAAAAAAGAGCGAAATCACTAGTAATGATCTATTTAACGTATATGTACTACTGTATGTTGTTATCGCTTTGTATAAATATGGGATAAATAAAATTTATGTTTTCACTTTAATAATATCGATTATTCGACTTAATATTGTGCGTATTCATCGACGCACTATGGCATTCGGCAGATGACAAATCTCACCGGTATACATCAAAAATTCGATATACTTTTTGTAGAAATATTGTTAACAATATTATATAATAATTCAATTACTTATTATATATAAATAACTGTTATTAAATAAAGAATAAGATTGGTAGAATTTAATATTTGATTGACTTCTTTTGATATAATTGAACATTTGAAGATATGTTATATATTTTCTATATAGAATTTGTATTTTGAGCAGTATAAATTTGAGTATCGTTCTAGATAGAATTGATAAAAAGATTTATGGATAAAAAATATTTTTAATAAGAGTTTTATTTAAAAAGCAATAATATCATTATGTTTGTTGCTTTATAATTTTTTGATGTTTCTATTGAATTGATTAATTATTTTAAGACTATATAAATTATAAATTTTACTTGTAAACAAATAAGTTTTTACAAATTATATAAGTCTTAATAATATACAAAATCTTTTTGTATTTTTTAATACTGCTTTCAGATATACAGTAAATTGTGTATTAAAGGTTTTTAGGAATTGAATAGAAGAGTTGTCTTATATTTTAATCATTTTAATATTTTTAATTATTTTACTAATAATGTAAATAATATACAGTATATACGTATTATATTATATTAAATTTTTTAATAAATATTAACAATTGTTATTAACAACTTAAAATTGATATGATAGTTTAAATAATTATTCAGTTTATACAATAATAACTTTGATGATAGTTAAAGTACTTACTTAAATTAGAATTATTTTTGTAAATAAATACTATATATATACGTATATTATGTATACTAATAGTTTTTTTTTTTTTTTAATAATAATTATTATTAGCATTATTAAAAACTCAGACCAAATCCTTTTATATTTTAGTCTTGAGAATCAAATCCATAATTAGTGAAGTTCAATTAATTTTTTATTATATTATTAAAATTACTATAAACTTTAATCAAATAAATTATGGCTAAATTATTATTTAATATTTATTTTAATATTATTTTTGGTATTTTATGTTTGGAAGGTCATGGAATTTTATAAAAGATTAATAACAATATTTATGCATGATTGTAACACTCATTGTTAATATGAATTCTGATTGGTTAATATAAATAAAGTAGGCGAAAAACAATTATTCTTTTTTGTTCTATTCTTCAACCAATTATATTGACACAGTAAATAAAAAATATATTTAAGCAAGGCATTCAATTCGCTTTTTGAGGATAATTTGAACAATAAACTTTTCATAAGAAATGGCAAATAGCTCTGATAATCAACTTGTAGAAATCTTTAAATGGTCCATTCTTGCTTACTTGATGAGGGATGGGTTTATAGCATACGCCGCAGGTGCTATTTTAAGCCCATTTATAATTGCTGGGGTAATATCAAAATTAGGATTCGGTAAATCTGGTATTATAGCCGGATCCAGTGCAGCACGGATGATGGCATTATATAATGGATATGTTCCCGCCGGTAGTATTGTGTCAACTTTCCAATCTGTTGGTGCCGCCGGTTTAGGTTTAGGAGGAATTGTTGTTGTAGGTTTAGGAGGTGTAGCAGTTGCTATTGCAATAAAAAAAGGGTTACAGGAATTAGAAACTTTTCTTACCGTTACATGCGAAAATAATGAGTATCCAATGGTGATTTTTGATATCAATGTTAAGAGCAACGAGGATAAAAAGCTACTATCAATTTTTAATGGATTTGTCTTTGCACAGAAACTTACCGAAAAAAGAGTTAGACACTTCGAATTTCTTATTGGAGAAGGATCAGATATTTTGCGGAACCTTTTGGCTGATAAATATGGTATGGATGCTTTAACTTTGACGCAAAATGGCTTCCTTCTTATTCTGAGAGATTTTAGTAGCAAAATCTGATATCATTGTAAAAATATACTACATGGAAAATAGAAAAATAGCGGAATCATTGGTAATGATCTATTTAACGTATATGTATGTTGTTATTGCTTTGTATAAATATAGGATAAATAAAATTTATATTTTCACTTTAATAATATTGATTATTCGACTTAATATTGTGTGTATTCATCGACGCACCACGGCATTCTGCAGATGACAAATCCCACCGGTATACATCAAAGATTCATAATTTTTGTAGAAATCTTCCTATTTTTACATTAAAAGTTATTAGTTTTAAAACTAGTACATATACAGTCCAGTGTGAACTTTATTTTGACTTTTAATTTGACTTTTAATTTAATAAATAATTATCTAAATGAAATGATATACGTTGTATATATCTATCTTATTGCGAGATTTAAGGATTTAATTATTTAAAAAATCTTTTATTGTAAAATATTAATATTGCATGTGATTAAAAATAATTGTTGATTTTTTATTTGCCAAAAAAATAATTGCTAATTGTTAAATTTATTTATTAAAAACGCTTTTTTAAAATTTATAAATTCATAAAAAAAATTCTTTTTGGAGTAACAGAAGTACTGTTAATAAATAAGTAGTTCATTTATTAATATTATATCTTTCTTTTGAAAAATGAAAAAATGAACAACTCAAGATCTAAATTACAGAATATTAAGGATTCAATTAATTTTTTAAAAAGGAAAACATATTTGAACAAATCCTGCTTTACTGAAATAAAATTCAATAAGTTTATAATAAATATTTGTTACCATATCTATATATTTACTTGATAACAACATGTAATATAATTATTTTACTTAAACAACATTAAACAATATTTTGTTTTTTCAAAGATTTTGTTTTTTTCTAATTGAAATTAATATACATGTGTTTACATTATCATAAAAAACTTGATTAGTAATATAATTTTAAATTAAATTTGATTTTCAATTATTTATTATATTACTTAAAACTTTTATTATAATACATTTTTTAAATTTAATTCTACTACATATTGTATATAGTAATTAGTATATATTTATTTATATATTTTGATTGGCTACCAATTATCATCAAATTATTTGCAATATTTATAAACTGTAATCAGTTTATTTCATCAAAATATAAATATAATATTGAATATTAATTGCATTTTATATTATTTATAAATATATATAAATGTAATAATAATAACGATTTTTGCTATATTTACAATATATCAAAACAGTATAACAATTGAATTGAAAAATAATATTTCTTTTATTCTATATAAATTCTGATTAATCTACTTATTAGCATTACTTTAAAAAAAAATTTTTTTTATATCAACTTTATTAACAATAAACAAGAATATATTTATTATTATTTTGACAATCAAAAAGTACATAAAAGAATTAATTATTTATTTATTTTTAAAATAATATATTAATTATAATTTATATGTATGATATATTAATTAAATTTTATCAAATTACAATAATATGAAAACTAATCAATCATATATTTTTTCTTTTTTTATATTATAAAATTTTTTAAAAATATATCTACAGTATAATATTAATAGTAAAATAATACAAAAGTATCTGATATAGCCTAAAATATACTGTATATGATGTGATGTCTTATTACTTTAGCAATAACATGATAAGAAATTTCTTAATATTAGCAATAAAGAAATAAAGAAATTTATTAAAAAAAGATTTATAGAATGATATATAATTTTTTTAAAAAAAAATTGATAAATTAAACGTTATTCTTTAAACATTTTTTAAAAATTCATTTTTTTTTTTATGAATTAATAAATTATTATTTAAATGCAAATATGTATTATATTAGAGTGGACTAAAATATGTAATATGCATATATGTGCATATGTGGCGATAATTTCACATATCATATGTGGACATTCTATATAGAATTTATCACATGATCTTTAAATTCTAATTGGCTAATTAT